CGGGGCACAAGCTTGATGATATGCTGTTGCCTTCAGCGTGCGATTCTCGCGGGTGTGAGAAGCAGAAATAGCAGGTAGGCGCAGAGCAACGACACTCGATGGTTTGTGACGTCTTGCACAGCCTCGCGGGCCTAGCGAGAAAAACCGGGAAAGACAAGACGATGACATGCTGATGTTTGAAAGGGCGAACTGCTCGTGATGCCTCCGCACAGGTTTAACCGAAATCTCATGACAATTCCAGGTAGCCGTGGCAGTGCATCTTGTCTTGAGCTGCAATCTCACCAGCATCAACACCTCCTGCAACGTCAGTTTCTGCTGTCAGACCATCCTACACCCGAAGCTAGATCAAAATTGCTTTCACTCTTGTAGCTAGCCCGGAGGGCCAAGTCGCCAAAGTTGGACTTCAAGAAGGGGGACGACCCCAGCAAGAAGACCTCGCAAGAGTTCGCGAGGCTAGAGTGTCGGTGCTGTTGTACCGCGGAAGGGCTGTGTGACGAGTGCATCTCGCAGGAGCGCTTCGCCAAAGGCAGAGCAGCCGCAAGCTACTGTGGAGTCCAGCTCCAAAGCAGACAAGCCTCGAGCGGACGAAGCTTCCACGCCGCCGCAAAGCCCCAGGCCAATCGCTTTGCGGCGGGAGGGGGCAGGTCGTGACGGAGCGAATGTCGAGCGTTTAAGGACAAATCCAGCAAGATGCGTGAGGTCGTCCAGTATGCTAGTACTGTAGCATAATCCATTGACCCCTAATATTCAACGGCCCCCCCCCTCTTCCCCCAATAGAAACTCGGAAAGTGTCTTTGCTATTTGGGAGTATTTATGTCTCTACCGCATCTTTTGAGGGTTTTTTCTCTTGCTCCTACTCTGGTCCTGCTCCCGCGCTGGCTTTTGCTCCTGCTTCTGCTGAGTCTCTGCTTTTGCTGGTGCTCCCGCTTTTGCTCTTGCTCCTGCTATTGCTCTTGCTCTTAGTTTACTGTGCTCTTTATTTGGAGCCTCGAAACCCTCCCCCTAATTCAAAACAGGTTTAAACATGCAGAGATGATTTTGGGAGGATGTGCCTCAATGTGTTTTCATTATTAGGGGGTGTTTGATAAAAGGGGGAAGGGATTAGAAGAGTTGCCAGAACTGGAGTACATGGCCGGCTGCGATCTTAGCTGAAATTTGCCAAAGTCTCTCGTGACCAGATCTGCTGCAGCTCTGCGCGGAAGGAACTCCAGTTGACACGACTACAACCTCGACAAACACTTGTGGAGATGCCTTTAAAGGATCGCTTAAACTTGCTTGTACCTAGTGGTGGTTTGTGCATGTTTTCGCCGTGGTGGTACCACAACGGCCGTAGGCTGAGGCGACCGTGAAGAAAAGACCTAATTCTGTGGCATCTACCCTGGTTCCTCGCAGGGAAAAGCCATCGAAGTGGAGCTTCAGAGCACGAAGTGATTCAGAGCAACGGGCCAGGAGCCTCTTCCATGCTCGTGGCTGTGTTCAGACTTGGCCCAGCTCCGCCTGGAGTCTGTGCAGAGGGGAAGTGTAATGTCAGGACTTCGGCCCGTTCCCCGTCGCTTGAGATGGGACACGAGCCTCGCAGTGGTGCTCGAAGCAGGAGCTCGTGGCCTTGTTGGCACGCCTTACTCGTAGCTCTCCAGTATTCTCATTTGCATACATCTCCTGTTAGTAGAGTTATGAGACATGCGCAGCGATATGTCGGACGCTTCTGTTCCCTGTGGTGACCTTGAGAGGAGTCCGTCCGAAAGTTCCAGGTCGGCAGCCAGCAGCAGGCAGGGCAGAAAGGGACTCTGTACTGGCGAAGACGTACAGTACCTGAGTTCTCCGAGCCAGCCCAGTACAGTAGTCAGTAGTCTTCAGGAACAACCCGAACTAGCCCGATGCAGGAGTGCGGCTGCAAAGTGGAACAAATACACCGCGCTCACGCGTGCTCTCAGCAGGCGGAGCAGAAATGGTTGAATTTGGCGGTTCCCAGTCCGAGCAACGTGAAGAACAATAGATGAAAGCTGGTGCGGCTTCAAGGGGCAGAGGAAGCAGGCTGTGCAGATTCAAGAAGAGTCTAAGAGGGATTTGGATTCGGAGTGTGGTGTTACACCGCGACTTCCCACCACACATCTACAGTAGCATCTTCTTGTAGGCGAATCTCTTTCCACACAAGCGACTAGACGCACTGGTAACAACTGGTACTGTAACTGCATACAGAGGTTCTAGCGTACCAATACACATATCACATGGGCATGCTTCAGCAATCAGAACATCATGCTTTGTTCAACACTGTTGTCAGAGATGTGATTTCTGCAGGGTCTCGTGGCTGCTATCGTCCTCGGAAGGATACGAATCTCTACATGTTCATGTGTCGTGCAGTCGCGCTGCCCCTGCACTAGACCTCCCTCGAGCTTTAAAGTAACCAACTCCTCGGCCGCGTCTGCCAGGAGTTCTTCAAATCTCGAGAGCCCCCGGGGGCCTGCGAGGCTGGATATCTGCGGATTATTGCGGATTCGGGAGGTGAAAGAGGGACCCGATCATGGATACATAAATGGAATCCCAAATGAAGGTGCCTTCGACACTCCGAAAAAATGCTTGACCGTCCTCTGATGTCCCGCCATCTGCCAGGGACAAATGGAACTTTGCAGAGCGAGTCCTCAGGCAAGGGGAATTCTGGCAGACGGGATGAAGGATCCTCTGAGTCTAATATAGTGTAGTATATAGTATGTACTATATAGTATATAGTATATAGTATGTACTATATAGTATATAGTATATAGTATATAGTATATAGTATATAGTATATAGTATATAGTATATAGTATATAGTGTATAGTGTATAGTGTATAGTATATAGTATATAGTATATAGTATATAGTATATAGTATATAGTATATAGTATAGTGTAGTATAGTATAGTTTAGTATATATATATAGTATAGTATAGTACAGTACAGTATAGTATAGTATAGTATATTATAGTATAGTATAGTATGGTATAGTATGCTGGTCAGGTCCAGAAGCCCTTCTGCGGGAGCAGAGGAGCGCAGTCACAGGCACCTCGTTCCTTTGCGGAGTTTGATCTGTGTGAGGTATGGGAGTTTCCGAAAATAAGGGGTACCTTATTTTGGGGTCCTTATATTAAGGATCCTACTATTTAGGGTACTATATTAGGGTCCCCTATTTTCGGAAACCCGCGGGTATCCGATTGGCTCTGAGCAATTCTAGACTCACGCATCCCTGCGCTCAAGGACTTGACTTGTGAATCTGTTCGCCAGGGAGCTGCAGCCTGCACTGACTGCCACGAAGTCGGAGACAACACTGATACAGAAGTTCAGAACAGGACCTTCTCTAGGACTCTGGGACGCCCCAGACTTCTGAAGACCTACTTTCACGCAAAGAGTCTGCTCTCAGGCGCTCGACGCTACTCGATGCGTGCGTTGGAGAGGCTGGGGCGAGTCCCTGCTGACGGCGCAACTCCCACATGCTCGACACTCGTAAACATAGAACGTGCTGGAGGCAACATGGCGTAAATGCATGTTACCTCCAAGAAGCAGTCCACGTTTCTCCGTTACTTGCCTCCTGCTAAACGGTGCCTATAATCAGTCGACAGGCAGAGGAGGCGAGCGGGCAGCTAGGCTGCACACATTTAGATCTGCGCCTGTCAGCGAAGGCCGTAGCTTCTGCTGGAATTCAGAGTACAGCCTGTCAGCATTCAGTGAGGCTTCCGAGCTCAGCTGACTTAGGCAGCCTCTGTCCGCCGACTCTCTCGCACGATACTTTCAGGCCTGAGATTCTGGGAGCACCACGGGGGCCACGGGGCATCTGCAGTTTTTGACACGCATCTTTCAATCAGTGTTGGTTTTCTGTTCCTTGGAACTGCAGTAATCATTGAAAGTTGCTGAGGAAAAGAAGCGCAGTGGCACGGGAGTCTTCGTTGAACACGTTGCTCATCGAGCCTCCTTGTCTTTTGTGCAGTTGCCCGCCTTGACATCGGTGCCAAAGCTGAGCCCACGCTGTGAGGCGAAACGAGACGCTGAAAGCCCCCCGGCTGCAGTTCGAATCAGCATTGCGCGACTTCAGGTTCGCAAGTCCATCATTGCTCAACCGAGAAAACAGCGCAGAAAGCCCGAACCCTACACTTGGCATTAAAGATCCCAAAAGCCCTTACACCACAAGACCCTAAACCCTGAACCCTCCCGGCAGGGAATTTCGGCTGCTAACAGCAGTTGGAAAAGGGCCTACAAAAAACTGCCCGACTAAACCTTGCAAGCGATTGCAAGTGTAGAAGCAGACAAACTTACAGAAACCTATGCTTATGCCCTCAGGAACGAGTTTCCATCAGCTGCCCCTGTCTCCAGAAGTTCCAGGGGGTAAAGAGATCCAAGGAACACCTCAGAATTTATCCGATGCCGGCAGTGCGCAGGAGGAGTTACTCGGCAGCCTTTTCGGGGGGTTCTTGCCACCAACAGAGGGACCTTCATAATTACCTGTACTATTTTGGGGTTCCTTAAAATATTTAAAGTATAATGGGCCCCAAAACCCTCTTCTGATTATAAGGCCGACATGAATTGCCCAAGACCCGAAAACCCTGTTTGCTTAACTCCAAACCCCTTGACAATGCTCAAGCTCTAAACCCCAGAACACCTTGTCGATCCTTGCAAACTTACCCTAAAAAGCCACATAAACCATACAAAACTCTATAAACCAGAATCAAGTCCCTTTAAATCTCTTGCCAAACCCTATAAAAAATGAGCACAACCCTAAAAAATCAGCCCCTGTTTCCCAAGAGCAGACGCCCAGGCTCGAGCGCGTGCCGCGCTTTGGCTCAGAGCGAAGCCCCGAGGAGCCGAGATGTTCCTAGGAGTCCCACCAGGATCACGGTTTAGGGTTTAGGGT